AACAGTTCCCACATATAATAGATTCCAAAAATGATCTGAAATGTTTTGGTACCAGAGTTAGTACATGAGACTCGCGAATGATTGCTGCAAGCGCGAGCAAAATCAGAAGAGAGAATTGAAGCACGTGACCACGCTTGCATTCTGTGAAATTGTACGTGTGCGTTTTATTGTTAGTTTTCGTATTCAAACAAAAAAACGATTATGAAATTGATGAAATGCGTAGTGTTATAATGGAAGTAAAACAAAGGTACAAAACGCCACACACTACTCTCTCTGATTATTCTTGTTTCCTAGTCGGGATGCCTCGTAGTTTAACTTGCAAACCCAGCTGCATTGGAGATAATAAATGAAGGCTTTTTGTTAACAACTTGAACCTCTACCTATGGACTTTCCCTGTCTGGGCTCAAAGCGGGCGTGCTTTCTTCATTCCACATAGCAGCTAGGCACCAAAAGCGTGCTACAGCCGAACGATTTTTGACAGTTTAATTTTTTTATGCTCAGATTGGGGGCACCAAAAGCTACAGCCGAACGATTTTTGACAGTTTAATTTTTTTATGCTCAGATTGGGTTTTAATCTTAGAATCATGCGGCCACTATCTATTTTCAAAGCTCCAATGAATACAAGGTTTAGTAAGAACAAAGGATTCTCAAGCATCACAACGTATTGTCAATAAAACTTACGAAAACTTTCTTTCAAATGTACAGTTGTCATTAATAGGTGGGCACTGATGTGCTGGGCTGCTCTGAAGATTTTACAACTGATAATTGCAAATGAAGGTGTTCGGTAACAGAGAAGAAGTTTAAGTTTGTTAGCTGACAGTGTAAACTTTTAATATGAGCATAAGGTGACCAAATCTGCGTACATCCATCTCACCAGCTCCAATAAGAACAGAACGCGTTGTGGTAAACTTCTTCGGCGCCAACCATTAGATTGACTTAAAACCCTAGTACTTTGGTTCGTATAACTCCCAAAATTTGAGGAGCTATCTGGAGCTATCTGTTACTTAAGGTTAGGCGTTTTTATAGTACAAGAGTTTTGGAAAGAACCTTTCTATTGGAATTGCACTATTGATTATTTTTGATTAAAACTAAATAGTAAAATTTGAGACTTCGAGCTGTAAAAAGTTCCAGTTCGCCAAAATCAAAAGAGAGGTCAGTTCTCAACGACAGAAAGACTTGCAGAGGATCAACCTCAATTATTAGTCTCTGGGGAGACAGAAGAGGAAGCTATCATTTATATGAAAACCATTTTAGGAAACTCTCACTTACTAAGAATAGCGCCCAAAAAGCATTATTTACTGGACTAATTGTTTGTTTGTTTGAAACCTGTACATTTTCCGCAACTTAATCACCTAATTGAGATCATTAAGGCCGAGTTTTTTGTCCTGAGAGAATTTAACCAGATCTACCAATCATGTCACTATTATTTCTTGAATTCCTTCAACATGTTGGAAATTTTGCAGTGCAATTTGATATTTATGGTCCACGTTTCTGCCGTGTCATCCCATTACTATAGACGGCCGCCGATATGACAGTAGTGGGCTCCGTTTCTTTTTTGTTTAAAGTCTTCGTATTGTGCGTATTCTTGTTTGCCTGCTATTTTTATAAATGACAATGGCGTGTTAGATAAGCTTAGTAACTTGGTCACTTCTACAACACGTAGTTATACCAAAAAATATCTGGCCTTGATTAATGAACCTAGATGTGCAAAGTCTTTGTCTGCCAAATGGGTTAAATATTTCAACTTTATAACACCAGAACCGATGAGATATTTTCCTAATGAGATTTGCAACATGTTAATCCGCTTCTTCCGTAACCGTATACCGAACACAGTTCAGACATTCCCCTTCCCTAGCTGGTACTCACTGCATTTGACCACATTTTACATTGCGTCGCTGCTATCACGGACATCATTCGTCACACTGGCATTAGCAACACCTAACAACACGTGCCAGAGGGGTTTCCTTAGCGGCTGATGCATTTGATTGGTCCGCTACAATTAATTCAGTGTGGGGACGGAATGAAAGGACTGCTACCAAGAGTGTTATTCGTCATGCTACCATCAACCACCCCTATAGACACGTCTAAGGGGGTTTTCACTATCGGCGCTTGCATCTCATTGGTCAGTTACATTACAGTCCGTGTGCATAATATAATTGACGTGCTACTCAGATTTTCACAAGTAGTATATAAATATTGCTATTTCTTTTTCTCCACCAATCTCAGTTGGCGGAAATAGCAGCAGCTGCTGACTTCGGCTACACCCACCACTGCAAGAGGTAGACCGAGAGACCCACCCATGTTAAGAAGCATAATGGTGTGTCGCTCTTCTGCTCCACCGTCCTTGACCTATCTCTTCAAAGCCTGACTGTTTTTGTGTCAATTTAACTCAATTTAACCTCACTGCATCAGATACCTTTGCTTTTCTTTGCGTAGGGAAATATCGTGACGTGTCTGATACATCTGTAGTTGGTCGTGCGTGAAACGTTCATGCGATTATAAGCCGGTTGGTTTTATGTCATCCAGTTTCCATACCGAGCTTTTCTTTTGAGAGACACAGAACAAGTCATATTGAATGGATTCAGGGACCGCAACTAGAATTGAGCCTCTATGATGTTCAGTATGTAGAGGCATTTTCTCCCAATGGGATTACTGGTTCCTGTGAACGTTCAACTTTGTTTCCCTCTGGTTGATAGCCACCATTCTAGCGTCGAATACAGGCTGGGAGATCAATAACTAAACTGAATTCAAACGGTGGGATGATTAAACGGCTTCGGTAGATTTGAATAAGCTTAAATCAATAACAGGCCTGTTTAAACTGAGGAGAGCCAAATCTGAGTGATTATGTTCAACGTGCTTACATTCTTCACCATCATATTATTCAAATTCGAAACAGAAAACGCCCATCATCATGTGTTCTGTAGTGACCTTGTACCTCGAAAATTTTCGGTGGAACTTTTGGGTCGACAGTTCTCTCTTATTGGCTCAATGCGGGACACAATCGAGAAACTAACTTCGGACAAAAACTTAAAGATATTTCAAAAAGCATACTCTCCTGTCTGCCTCGCAAGCGACACACCTGACTCGCAATGTACAAAATCAGCTCGAACGGAATTCATTAATGCTTGGAAAATCTACACCAACTGGACGCCAAAGGCAGGCGAAAACCGTCTGATTGACCCGTACTATTACAGCTATCGAGATCAACAGAGAAGTGGCTGGACTAAAAAAACAGCTTATCTGTTCCACGCGAGTTGTTTAGTTGTTTGTTCAGCCCTGTCGAAGCTGCCGCTTGAGTGGAAGATTTACAATGCCACTTGCCCAAACCCATGCACATCTCAAACCTCCTGTGCACTGGATCATTGTCATAGGACTGGATTATTCTCCCACGAGTTTTTTTGTTTCTGCACAGGCGATGAAATATGGGACCCGGAAGTCAGCGCTTGCATCCCCAACCGTATTTATCAGGCACGCAGAGGAAAACAGGAGGCAAGTTTTGCTCATGAATTGTTCTACACCCCAGCTGAAAGCTCTTTGACTGCACACGGCCTGTTTCAGCCTTGCCTTTTGAGCTCATCAGGTAGGCGCGGTCCCCGATTTTCTGCCGACCTTATGTTCAACTCGAACCCAAGCTGGACCGGATTCGCCAAGTACCCTCATTTGCATGATAAGTTGTTTTTGCTGGAGGGACTCAAATGAACCGAGCTGAATCTTTTGTTTACGTTGATCGTCCTCAACTGAATGTGCTACACAAGGCCTCCTGATGTTTTGAACGAAATTCGAGACGTAGCAATCCATTTTCTAGGCGTAACACGTTCATTTGAGGGAGACTATTATAGAAGAGATTCAGCTGAATTCAGTTAAATCTCCCGTCAAACCAAATGGGCTGAGTATCAATTTTAATGCGTCCAGTTCATAATGTTAGCAGACGACTGGATGTTCAATGATCATTCGGGTGCACTTCGCGAAGAATAGTTCTAATTATATTTGAATCAATTTAGTTCATTTTATGCGGCTGGATGTGTATGTTACAAAGACATTCTCGGAATTTTTTTATCACAGACGAAGTAAGAAGGTTGGTAAAGATACCAACACGGACTAAACAAGGAAGCTTGTGGGTTAACAGCCAAAATTTTCAGTTCTGTCGGGTTCACAATTTTATTAGTAAAGTTGGAGCCAGAAATTCTGATCGCTTGTTCCAGCTACATAGATCATACTAGATTAATTGCGAGAGGCATTTGCATTCTCAACCATTTCCGAATTCGGGAATGGTTGCGTTGTTCACAAGAACATCTTACCTGACAGGGTATGTTCGCTCAACAGTAGGCAGAACGTCTTCCGGTATTATTTTTATAATCTGTTACCACATTAGTTTGAGTTGTACCTTGAGTATCTGTCATAGTAACCATACAGTGTGCTTCGTTTGTTTGGTGCAGAAGAATTTTTGAGATAAAAATTAATCTAGCATCACTAGATGAAGGACTGCAACTAGGATTGGGAACGTAAAGAAAAAGTAGTATATTTGGTTTCTGCCAGTGCTGCTGTCTCACACGAACATCACTACAACCAAGTGAAGCTGTTCAACATCTGCTGGTTACACAGTGTTTATGGGCCTCCGTTCGATCTACACTGCATTGGCCGGTAGATTTTAGACTCACCGGACGCCTGCAAGCGGGTCCTTCCAAGTAAGATTTATAACTATTGCTGGTCTGCCAGACGATTCATCTGGAACCAGGTACACAAGAATTGTGTCCGAGGTTAGTGAACGCAGACGTGCAAAGTGCGATATAACCAACTTACTGCTGCAGCTCAGACCAAAGCTGACTGGTGTTATGTTTTGCGCAGGTACGCAAACTGGCTTCTTCCAACACACAAGCGACTAAAACAGGTGTGTTCTTCGGTGTTTTGTCTAATGCAGTGCAGCCATCCTTTGAAAAGTGACATGTTGGTGGTTGCAACAGAGCTTGTCATCCAGAGGGACGCAGCATCATGAGGGCATAGTGTTTGCTGTTTTACTTTACAAGCTGGGATACCATCTTGGTTCAGTAGTATTGCTACTGCATCCAAGATTTTGCGGACTTTCACGCAGCCTACTCAGTTGGTCACATTTGATTCATGGTAACTCAAAATGTGTTTCTTCAGGTGGCCTGCTTTCTGGTGTTTAAAAATGGAAGTCCGTCTGGGCGAGCCGTTTAGCAGATTTGTGTCTGAAACAGTAAGCACTTGAGAACAGTGGAATATTTTGTAACAAATAAAAATCTGTCTTTTCGCACAGCAATACTAGTGACGCAAACAAACCTCTCGTTTTTACACAATCCAACCGAATGTGCTGTGGGTTAAGGGTCAAGAGCATCTCCGTTTTTGAATTCATTTGTAGTACTCAATTTGCTTCTATAGCTGGCCTGGATAAATATGCTGAAGCACACGTCAGTATTCACCTCACGGCACGATGATTAATGCTCAATGTGACTTTATACACACCTTTTGACCCGGGTCACAACTTGTGTACCTCCTGGCAGCTAACCAAATTTCGTCTGTTTTTTATTGCAGTTCGCTTTGTCTACCTGAGCAGGATGGCATCAGCCACCTTGCTCAGATCTTAGTACTACTTGCCGATACACCACTGTAGCATTAAGTCAGCTAATAAGGTCCCATTCTTCCAGCAGTAATCACCACCTAAAATTTGTCTTTAAGGTTGGCGTCCAAGATGATTCAATGCAGACATGATTTTCGTAACTATCTGGTCAGGAGCTTAGTGATAATATTTCATGAATTTTTCGGTTGGTGAGAATGGAGTGTTTTCGCGAAGAAGGGTAATTCCCCTATATGAAAGGTAATGTTTTTCCGTCAGTCAGGCTTTCTTACAATGATAATTATTGATGCGATATTTCTGTATGTATCTAAGCCTTGTTTTGGACATATTAGCCCGTCTTCTGTATCACAATTGAAGCAGCTTCGTGTCAGTCGAGTAAGCTACCGAGGTTTTGAAGCTAAACACCCCTTAAGCCTTTCGTTAAAAGCCGCAGTGGTGATATATCACTGGCAAAACCAATCATCCGTTTAAGTACTGAGCACTCAGGTCGGTAAACATCTGTTTTGTGTTGTCCCATTGTCTCACAGGTTATCGAGGGATTTAGCAAATACTGGAGTAGAATTTATTTAGTGACGTCATTTAACATGTTGCTGCAGGGCACGCAAGGTCGTCAGTATGGTCTGGTTTCTTAAACTTCCTGTTTTTTTCCAGCTTCATAGTCACATCGGATTCAAAAGCTGTGATGGTAACACATACTGCGATAAAAATGGCACCATGTTTTGTCAGGAGGATGTGGAAAATAAGGTAAGTCTTCACTATCAGGTCACAAAGCTGTGCCTGACTTAAATGAAGGAACATCAAGCGAATGTCACAAGGGTGGCACCGTAAATGGCTATAGCGTCTCTGCTTGCCTTCCGTCAATCATTAGGTAATTTTTTTGTTTTGCTCTGATCAGCAGAGACCTATGTTTGATAACTTTGCACACCAGTGCATCAGTCATTCTGGTGAGTAGTAGGGTGGTGCGATAGGAAGCAGTCGCGCTTCAAAGCTGCCCTTTCATTCAAAGCAAAATATACAGTGCTTCCATGCAATTCTCGGGGACAATGCAACGAAAAGTGAGGTGTAGTGAACGTCCAAATATGTTCATGATTTCAACGAGTGGTTCTTAAACGTTCTTGGCTTCGTTGGCTAAATAGGCAGAACTACCTCTACCACCTACCTGGCAAACATCGCTCAAACACCAGAAAAGAAATCATACGCAAGCGTGAACCGGTTTGCCTGTTCAAGCAAAGTAAGTGAGGTGCGTGCTGTGATAGAATAATTATAAAGAGTTCACCTCGTTTCCTGGATATCCGCAGTTCAAATCCCGATACAGTCAGGGATACATAAAGTGAATGTCATAGCCGCGCTCAGTGGCTGGATACCTTCACTGGTTCCAGCGTTCTCGATCAGCTAACTTAAATTTTCGACTTCAGGCATCTTCAGAGTGTGGTGTCAAAGCTAGGAACCTTGGTGGCCATTTACCTGCACTTTTGATAGGGTCAGATTATAAAAGTTTACGTAATATTTGAGTACAGTGTGAAGTTTTGCTATTTTGCTTGGATAAACTATGTGTCACAGCTTCAATAAAGTAAGAAGCTCTTGAAGCGTCTTAGGGACGTGTTATGGAACAAATGGCATGCATTTGTTACCTTTCCGTTAAAACCCGGAAGGGCTTAAAAATATTTTTAAAAGTATGGGCTCAAAACATCGGGTCTGCACGAAACTCAGTGGAAATTCGGATAGCAATCTGGGTTTACTTCAGGCCACACAAGGTGACTGCGCACTGGCCCATTAAGGCAAACGACAGCTTTGTCTCAATCGTCTACTTTGTACTAAACCTGTTTCTGTTCTTTCAGCATCCAATGTGAACTAAGAAAATATACGCCCTTGACCTAACCGTCAAGTAGTTTTCTTTAGACTTCTCTCAGTGCAAGGACCCAGTATTGTCTGTCAGCGTTTTTGGCCTTCGCAATAGTTTATCATCAACAAATTCTGTTACCCTATACCTGAAAATCAGTCTAACAACTGTTGCTCTTGTAATCGCCTAGCGTTCACTAAGTTTTCAGTTAAAACTGTGCAGTGTTGTGTGACCGTTTCCACCACATTTCTTAGAGAAATATGCTTTTCACATTTTCGTCCTTACTTTAACTAACCTGAGGCGTTCGCCGGGAGGGTTTAGAAAATGTCGCTCGATGTTGTACCAAGTAATAAACCGTAGAATCTTGTCAGCTTCTGTCTATCAGCGCCGCAACTTCTGCCTTATCAAATGCAGTATGAATCCATATGCGTTGGATGCGCGAAGAAATTGACACCTGATTAAAGTTGACGCATGCTTACATGTGCACAGGCATATAAGTGCACCGTCCTCTGATTCCGATTACAAACAATCGCCGTCTGGGCGGAAACATGCGGGAGTTACGTGCATAATGTTGTACTCTTTTCGTGACAATTCGATTCGCATTGAGTGACACACAAAACGCCTCAGGATCCAAGAGAAAAAAGCACCATATTTACAGTCCCAGGCACAATTACCACATCTAGGTCTTGGGCTTAACCAGGCTCGCTTAGCACCGATTTGTTTTCGGTGTAGATAGCTTCTGGCTTCAACACCAAAAAATATAACCAAGTTCAATTGAATGCTTGTTTGTGCTCCCGGTAAAACCAGCAACAAAACCCAAGCGGAAGTGACAAACATGGTTAACATTTCCAACTTATTTTTCCATGTGCATTTTGTTTAGTGGAGTGTTATTTTTACAAGACTCTGCAAAAATATGAACCTTTCCGTATCCTTTGGCACTTCAGCGTATATTTTGCACATGTAAACCACAGTACCACGGTACAACTTGCACAATGCTAGTGGATGCGTGTGCAGAAAGGATTCAGCATCCTTACTTACCCAACGGTGGTCTCTTCTTTGCTGGAAGTCGGGCTTGCAACGTGAACCAAGGCAAGAACTTGTGTCGGGCCAACATAACGAGCGATGGGGATCCGGTATACAGTTGCGAGTGTGATCCACAAGAATGGGAGCCAGACCCGAACCTGCCCTATGAAAATTGTCTCAAAAGGCGTTCGACCTGTGAGATGATGATTTGTGTCCATGGCAAATGTGTGTCGTCGTTCACTGGGAGACGGGTGAGCTTTTGAAATTTTTACCACAACAACTGTCTAGCTAACCATCTCGAAAAAGGTTTTCTTCATAAGTTTCCAAATTTTTCAACTGTGGAATGCTTTTCGTGCAAACAGATACGCAGGTTGATGAACTCACGAGTGATGAGGGGCCATCGGGCTATCGATCCGTGAAAAGAGCAACGGAACTTTTCTGGATTGGGCTCGAACCATGGAAGTCTCGGTAGGGCTGTGCACCTGAGTAGTGAGCTATTTTAACCTCACTCGCTAAAAACCACCTATTTAAACAGAATCGGATCTCGCATTGTTCTGACAATATCTGAAATGTATGAGAACTCTGGTTAACTACTTGGTCCCAGAATTCTAGCGGTGCAAAACATTTTGAGCATGTACTTCGCGTGTCTCGTTGTTCTACAAAGATTGTAATAACCAATCTTTATTTTTAAAAACTTCCGATTTGATTGCTCCCGTTGGTTTTTTGGGTTGAAAAATACACTAGATAAGGATAGGTCGTAACGAGCAACCAGAACAAAATTGGTACACTCATTATCGGTGCTCGAGATGATGTAGTGAACAGACTACCTTCACGAAAATCCGCTGGTCATTCACGGTGATAGTGATTATATTTTTGACTTCTCAACCATATGGATGCCAGTTTCAGTTAGAAACTGGACTGTTCTCTCAGCTTTTGCCAAGTTGATCTTTGAACAAATCCTTATAAGAGAACTCTTCTGATTCAACCGCCAATATCCGTCCTGAGAACGATAATCTGCTATAGGTATTGTCTTCCGTGGGTTCTGAAATCAGCCTGCAACTGATGTCATGCGGTCACTTTCTACACTTACTAGAAATAACCGCACCGAAAAAAAAACAAGAGGAGTTATCTCGGTCCTATTTTCTAACCAGTTTTGCAGCACATTGAATGTTCCAAAACCGCATGTGTCCCTGACAGTGGTTGCTTTTCATGACTTTTACTGGACTCAAAGCTCGTAAAAACCGGTTAAAGAGCTTAGCACTCAAGCAGAGGTGATTTGTTACGGTTTTCTGGAAAACAAACTACAATTCTAAACATTCAAACTAATGGCGAAGCTCAACTGTGAATGTAAAATCGCCTTATCTATGTAAGGGAGTGAAATGTGAACAGGCCTGAAACATTGTCAGCGGGGTTTCCATTTCTTCTTGCCTAGTTTACCAGAAGATCAATAGCAGAAGACCAAAGACTGTAGCATGATTGCATGAGCACGACCAGATCGGTGGGATTCCGCTTTCTGATAGTCGTCTCTATAGAAAAAAATGGACTGGGTATCGTGTCTTCGTGGTCATCACCGCCGGTTGCATCGTATGGATCGAACTGAAAATAGCTATCCTAGGCCATCTGTCCGTTCGGGAAACATCGTCTGCCAAGTTTATTAAATGTTGTCGGCAGCTTCTTTATATTTAAAAAATGCCATAGTTTGTTGGATTCCGATGGGGATTAACAAACACTGATCTTTGCCGGATTCACCTATTTGCTCAATAAAGTTTGCTGCTGGTCGAATACCACAATCGAGGAAGACCTACAGAGACAGAATCGCTTCACCCATTTTGCAGGTGACTTCATTTGTAGTGTGAGATCAGAAGGATTTAAAACTTCCTGTGCAGATATACTTTCAGCAGTTTCGACAAAATATTGTGCATTGTGGTGAAATGGAGTGTTCTTTTCTGGTGGTATGAAATTCTATTTTTGTTTATGAAAGGCTATCCTCCAAAAAAGTCTCATTGTTGTCCTAATTTGAATGGGTGAAAGTTTAGTTAAGTTTGAAAAACAAACAGTAGGTTATCAGGTCTCTTAAGGAAACCTGCAGGTCAATGGGCCCAAAAGTTTTGTGTCCCTTTTTTCATTTAATCAACCGGGAGGGACTCTATTGATTACCTTTGATGAGTGTTCTGCTGGCAGGAAAAACGTGGTGTTCCGGATAGCCTAACTGAAAGCAAACTTTGGATCTATACGGACTCAAATTCCCCACCGCTGCCAAACTGGCAAGTTCTGTGGCATCTGTTGCAAAATAACTGCGTCTTCAGACTAGCTACTGATGCTGCCCAAGGTCTGCTGAGACCTACAAGAAACTTGGCAGAAACAAAAGCTGCGGCACTTTTTATGTGTTGTCATATTTGTTTGTCGATCCTCAGAACAAAGGGGGGCGATCCTCGCTGGACACCATTCAGGTGGCATCAATTCGGTTTACACAGAGGTCGACAAATTTTCGGTAGGACAACCAACTAGCCTTTGGCAAGCAGCCGGAAGGGGAGTTTGCCCTGGTTAATTATTCCTCTTGGATAGCTTCATTCGCAGTGAAGACCCGAGTGCCACTAGTGCGTGACTGAGGCTGACTTGGTATGACAAATGCATCCTGAGACACATAAGCTGTACTGTTTTTCCAGAAAGGCTGCATCAGAATGTCAAGGTTCCGGGCCGTGTAATGAAACTGTTAAGTACTTACTGCTGTTTTTAATCACAAGACTGTCTAGCAGCTTGGACATTCTCAATGACTCGCGTCATTTTCAATGTGGTGTTACTTCTGAAATTGTATCTTCTCATTATTTTTTCCCGTTCTACGTCAAGCCCTATTGTGAGTGCGAGGCCGGCTATTCTGGCCCTAACTGTGATGAATGGACGGGTGAGTGGACCAACTGGTCACCGTGGGATCGATGCCGACCGGCCTGTGGAGATGTACGCTATAGCATACGATTTCGTGATTGCAAAACCAGGCGGCAAGAAATTGATGATCAGCGTGACTGTGTTGGATCGCCACTTGAATACTGGCGCTGTGATGCACACCCATGTGCACGTGAGTAAACAGTGTGGGACGCTGCTTTACTTAACTGCACGCCGCGTAATCTGGTGACAATTTTACTCACGTTTCCATTCTGATATTCAATGTATCACTAGGAAGAATGTAAATTAAAAGAAGAGATTTGAAACAGTAGCTCTAGGTTAACAAAACTATTTTGGCTTTGGGTCATACTGAAGTAGAGGTCACACTTTTACAGGGTACGTTTGCTCCTAATTGTTCCTCGCTGATGCTTTGCAGATTTGTACGTTTTCGTAGATCATCTGGCGAGTCGTCGAGGTGTCTCTTGGCGGTGGTATATTGGAATTTCTAGGTAGTGGCTCTAGTCGAACTTGAGTCCGTTGGTGTTGCGAGGCGATTTTAATTTTTTCCTTACCAGACAAGTAATTTTATGCTGGAAGTCCATGAAGCACTGTGGAACTGCTTCGTTCTTATTCGGAATCATCAGCGGTGCTCACCTCAAGAATCTCTACAGATTTAAATCCGTCACATTCAAATAACTAGGTGCACATAACTTCATCGACAGTGACTTATGGGTAGTGTAGTTATTTCATATATATATATATA